AAACACCACTTAGAGCAGAGTTAATAATGGTGACAGATAGGTACAGGTGACCTGCTAATGTTTGGATATCAGAGAGTGAACATCTGGCCTTTTCTTAACACTGCCCTGAGAGATCCTCAACCAGCACAGTCAGCACTGTACCATGCCCATGCTGGTGCTCAGATTGACAGAGATCAAGCTGATCCAAGACCCTGGAATGTTTCTATGTTTTCCATATGGGGAAAGAGAAGAAAAAGGTTTAAAGCAAACATCCTATCGTCCTTTATCTGCTGCTTGCCCAAAATGAAGTCACAGACTTGTTTCTTTATGAAAGCACCCGGGGTTTCATTTCAGTGACCCGGCAGCCTCCTGACCACCAAGCCTAACCCCCCGAACCTTAACCACTTTTGGGAAAGCTGAGCACTGCTGAAAGCTTCTGGTGTTGAGTAGGGAGCCTACAGCCATCCAATAAAAACCACTAAGCACAGAGACCTCGGGGGTCTGGTTGCAGCCCCTTGTGTGCTAAAGCTGCAAAGTCTCTGAGGACTGTCCAGTTGGATGTAAACAGCATTCCTCTGCTGGGGTGGCAAACGATACCTTCCTCCCTGCTAGGCCTCAGGATGTAGCCAAAACTTGTTTACTCTGTAATTTAGAGTTCATTGTAATCTAAATAGGGATTTTTGCAATGCAAATAGGGCTGTGCAGAATGTAATACATTTTATTTATCGCTACTGTTAATTATGACTATATCGCTTATCACTCATCACATAGACTGGATTGCAAAACACAATGTTTCAAACACACTTTAGCTCTCAGATCATGATCAGTAGAGAGAATATATTATACTTTTATATGCACTTTCCCCTACAGTGTTTTACAATAGCCTGCATAAACCCCATTTTGCAGAAAAGGTTTCCAAGAAATTAAAAAAAAAAAAAAAAAAAAAAGAAAGTCTTGATTCATGTGCAAAGGTAGTTTCTGATTGCATAGAGTGGGCAGATGTCTAAGGGGTCCTTTGATTTCCTGAAGTGCCTGATTGTCCTGGCTGGTACACATATATGAGGAAGCCTGCTATTAACTCCAAAATTCCAAGTGTTAGAAGATCATTCCAGAATGATCTAATGCAAACGTAAATAATTGCAGTTCAGCATGGCTAGAACAGTCTGATGGACTCAGTGCTCTTTAAAGGAACTGGAAATGCACTGCAGAGATTCAGGAACAGCAATGTTCACGTGAAGGAAAAGTCTCCTCTCTCCTTGGCCTGTAGGAGGTGATCTAGGTTTGCTTCTTCTATCATTTACACCCGTCGTAAACTAATAATCAGGCTCAATAAAAAATGAATTTAAAATACTGCCCAGTGCAGAGGGATGAAGTGGTTAATGTTTGTTACATTCCCTGATGCTGGACCTTGATCTTCTGACAACACCCACCATTCTCCAGGTGACACTGCAGATAAATGATTCTCTTCAGCACGGAAAGCAAGTGATAAAAGTGCTAAATGCTTCACTCCCTGCCAGTGTGGAATACCATCCTCTAACCCAGAGGTTAGAAAACTTTTTATTAGCTGATTACTCTTCCAAGTAAATGTATTTACACCAGGTCTAAGAACCCTGGCTCTGTGAGTACTACTAAAGCATCCAGCTCTTCCTATACCCTACATTTAAGAGGGTAGTGTAGCTGGGAACAGGTAACCCAGAGAGATCTGGAACTCCATCCATCCAAGGGGGCTTTAGGACCTGACCAGGCAGAACCGAGTTTGATCTACAGCTGGCAGTATCCCTGTGCTGGAAGAAAGGTGGAACTAGATGGCAGGTATAGATTTCATCCAATCTGTCCATATCCTTTCAAGTTCCCCACTCCAGTAATGCTGTGATAAATGCTGATGTGTTCCAGCTCTTACACAGCACTCATTGCCCTCACATCTGAGAAGATGGTCTGTCCTGCAAGGACTGCAAAAGCAAGAGCGTGCCAGGAGATCCCAGTGCCTCAGGCATCCATCTAAATTCCCTTCCAGCATGTGCACCTGGGCTCCTTCCCATAATAAATGAGCAAGAGGATTAGGTTGTGATGTGCCTCTGGATTTTGGCCTAAAATGGAATTGAGAGCATGGCTGAAGAATTTGAGTAGATTGAGGGGATGCTACATCTTCTACAGATCAGACACAGCCCCAATTGCCTAAAAGCACTGCTCATTTTATCTGAATGTTGCCACAGTAAGTTCTCTTTCAGCAATAAAATTAGTGATGAGAGTGGCCACCATAAGTGAGGGTAAGGCTGGATGGAGACACTCAGAAATCAGTGCAGGTATTTGGCAAACTGGAATATCTGACAGTGTTGGAATTAACAAAGCTGGTTTAGCCTGGCAGTTTCCCCTGCCAGTATCCACTCTTGTAAATAAGAATTTCGTTTTTGTTGATATAATTGCAATTAGCAAAATGTTTTGTAGAGAGAGAAGTTCTGTGAATTGGACATTTCTGCAGTATTTTCTGTGATACCTGAAGTTCAGAGTGGACATGACATATTATTCTACTTTGACTGTCATTTAATTTGAACTTTATGATAACACTGAAATCACGGCTAACTGGTAGCAAGTAGTCTGCATTTGAATGTATTGTCTTAGGTCTCACCAGCAGCAGAAGTTGCATTTAGATAGACAGATGGTAGTGTAAGAGCCACCATTACTGACTGTTCCATAACATTAAGGAGTTTTTCAGTCTGTGCAAGTGCTTATTATGTTAGAAGTACTAGCAGCAGCCTGAGTTTTCTTCTTAAATAATCAAAAACCCCAACAACTCCAAAAACAGTAGTCACCATGGAGTAGCTGGTGTAAAGATGGAGGCAGTAAAATTGTCATTTTTGAAAATGCTGTGTGGGAGCTTCCACAATTTATTTTCTGAATGATTAGGGAGACTGTCACAAGGTAAAAGACTTGGAGGTAAACTGTCCAACGTTCAAAGGTACAGGGCTTGTCACAAGAGCAGTTACACTGCAGCTAAATCCTTGGTGATGTAAACAGCTGTCAGCTCTCAATTAAAGAGACATCACTCTATGGCAGGGTTTTTCCCCACCTTTGGGATAAGTGAGCCTGCTGTCTCAGTGACAGAGCATCTACCTGTGCGTGGTGCTGCTCAGAGCCATGGCTGGTACCAGTTTTCGATGCACAGAGTAGTGAGTATTAAGAGGAAAGAAAAAGCCTGATACTTCTTCCTCTACCTGGGGTGCATTGGTGTACAAGGGTGAGGACAAATCCTCCTGGCTGAAGTGCAGGCAGGGACCAGCCCAGCTCACTGTGGCCACTGACACAGGGTGGGTGTGTCTGGCACTGATGGTTCCGTGACCTCTGTCTCCAGTTTACTGTCAGTCATGGGAGCAGTAAGTAGCACTTTCATGGTCTTGGTTGAAAAGAGGCAGATTTACCTTGTCTTGCTGCTCTGTCCTCCGCTTTCTCCCTGTGTAGTGTGTCTGATGTAGTCACGAACATCATTAAATATTTGCAGCCATGTCCATGGGCACGGGGCATTCTGGATTAAAGCATAAACTGAACGAGCTTTACAGTATTTTCTCCAAGAACCCAATTAAAAAAATGTGCTTTCCATCACAAAGATGCTATCAGCCCCAAAATCGTACTTTATATTCCCAGGACAGATCATTAATAGTATTTCAATCAAAATTTGATTATAATAATCCTAACCTGTTTAGTACAAGCCCTGCAGAGCCTTTTATTTTTTTAACTGGATGAAAATGATAACAATGCCATCATCAAAAAAGTTAAAAAAAAAAGATATATTTGATACTGAGGTAATTTAAACTCATTTCAGCAGAGACTGTAGACCAGGGTCAAATGTTTTCTATAAAGCTGCTCTTTCTGAACACCAACATTTATGAAAGTCACATCCACTAAATCAAAGGGTCTTTCTTGTGAATGTTTTATCTAATTCCAGTGTTACTAGCACGTCGGAGGGTTGTGCTTTTTGGGAGGTTTCCAGTTGTCTGGTAGAAATCCAGTTGCTTATTCATGGAAGAAATCTGATCAAGATGGAAGATAGTGCAATGAGTGGAATTACCTTTTGGCTTTGATGAGCTGGTCTGAAACTGGAGAGAGAAGCAATATAATTTTCCCTCTCTAGTTTTATTTATTTCCTTTCCCTCCCCTCCCTCCTTGCACTTTTCTCTGGGCACTTGGCAAATCCACAAGTGCTGTTAACGTTGCTCTTTGGCTGAAAATTAAATGCGTATTTTTGCACACAACTGCTGACTCCTCCCTGTCTTGCACCTCACTGACATGCCTGGATCCCGCTGGCTCAGTGCCTGGGATTGTGCTGGTTCTTGGAATATCCCAAGGGAAATCCCATCAAATTTCTCCTCTTCACATGACCTAATGATTGTTTGAAAGCGCCTGATTTTGCAGCTTCTCTCTTTTAAAATTTGAGTTTTGAAGTTTATGTATTATATTGGACCTTGGAGAACTTAACTTTGAGCCAGGTCACTTCTTTTCACCAGGGCATGAAAAACTTTACTGGAAATTATGTGATATCCATGTAAATACTGAGATATAGTTGGGCACTGGACATTTGCCTTAAAGACACAATACAAACAATGAAAATACACCAACCTTTAGCCCACAGTCATTACCTGTGGTACCTTCATAACAGATGTAATGCCTTGTGCAGAGTTCAAGGCTCTCATATTTAAAGACTGCGGGATTTTCCTCCCCCAGAGCTAAAAAGAAAATGTTACTGTTGCAGCTGAAGACAATGTTATTTTATCAGTTTAAAATGTGTTGTGAATAACATAAACAAGTACAAAAAAGCTCACATGCATACCAGTCAATATAGGATATTTTTATCTACCATTGTAGTCTATACCACTTGTGGATTAACCATTTTAAGCAAAAATACACCAGGCCATTTGGGCCTTAGCATAATGATGTTGTGATTTATTACACTCTGCTTTCCATCCTGCAGCAATTACCAGAAGAGCTGATAATGGTCTGCCATTAGTTTTCCAGAACTGGGAGTAGCTGCCAGCAAGAGCTGCTCTCAGGGAAAGGCAGTGCCTGTTTACCTGCCCTGCTCAGCCAGTCCAGGGAGGACAGGTCAGTGAAATCCTCTGGGAATACATAACAGAGGACCAGCCTGTTGGACAGAGAACAGCTGGTTCTTCCAAGGTGGTGCAGTGGGACCCAACAGTATAGAAATGGATTTGTTATTAAATTTCTATTAAAAAATATGGGACCTGACTAAAATAATAGGTAATGCATCAGTTTTTCTACCCTTCAGTTCACTCACATCAATTTAAGACATGTCCTTTATTCCAAGAATAAAGTGACACCACCCTGTTTTTTAAGAGCTTGCAGCTCTAGATACTGGTGCAGGTTCCTTATACTGGAATTTACTGTAAGCACTTGTGATAGTTATAAGGAATCTTTATAATCCATGGGGTTAGAGATATTTCCTGTTTTGAACTGGTTTCTTGATGACCTTGGTGTCAGTGTATTGAAGCTCAACACACATTTTTTGGAACTTTATCCTGCCCAGCCGTGACAACTGTTTGTCAGCTGCCAAGAGATGAGACCCTGTGGATCTCCCTGCAAAGGAGATCCGTCTTCAGATATAAGAAAATTTCATACTTATTGAAAGCTTTTGGGTTTCCATAGCTATCAACAAGGTTAGTTTAGTTCTCTTTTATAGGAAAGAGATTGTAGGCTGCAGAAAAGTAGTTTGACAGAAGGTGTCATTGCCTAGATCTTGCTAAACATGCAGAGTTGGATTTCAGCAGTTAATGAACTGAAAACATCAGGTGATACACAAATATTTTGCACCTGGGAAAAAGCCTTTTTGTCTTCTCTAAGAAAAGGAAAAAGTTGGTCTATGTGTTGTCACTGGAGAATGAAAAAGCTGCCTTTTACTTAGTCTCCTGTCTCCTTAGTATCTGTCTCCTCTTCTGTTGGTTTTCTCCTTGTGTGTTTTGACTCTGCTCTGCCTGTGCTCAGTCCCTGGTATTTTTCATGAGCAGTTATATGAGTAACTTATCTGTTACTAGAGCATAATAAGTACAGATTCTATGATTCTAACTTCTTTAGGCTCAGTGTCCAAAGTTTTAGAGTGGTAAAATGGACTTGTAATGTGCTTTATTTAAAGGAGAGCAGTTAAATGGTTTGCCTTCCTCAAAATATACCATTTTCCTGTAACATGTCTGGAAAGAGAGAAGGGAATCCTATTGTCATTCCCATTGGTGAAAGTCAAATGTAAGGATCTGGATGACATCCAGTAAAAGAACTAAAACCAGTCCTGTGTCAAGACAGTGTAACCACCAGGGGATTGCAGATGCCAAGCACAGGTAAGTAAGAATTCTGCATTATTGCTGCTTTCTCCTCTCTGCTTTCTTTCACATGTACATTCATGTTTGTGAGTGCTTTCTCTCCTGCAATCTCCAGAGTCAGTGGGATTCCCAATGAGTTTTCAGCAAGAACATGAATAGCAATGACTGTAGGCACTTTAATGCACTTTCACTTTGGCAAGGAGACATAAGTATTTTCCCACCATCCTTCTCCCTATTAGCAGCAGCACTTTTTTTTTCTCCTCATTTCATTTTACTCCTAAACACTTCTGAAGGGTTATACTGAAGTCAGTCATCAGTGAGTAGCAAAATAATCAGGTATTAATTATGGCTAAGAACAAGGTCCAAAGTGTGATTCATAGTTCTTCAGTTCATCTAGAGTAAATAGGGCCTTATCTGTGGGGCTCCTTAGGTTTTTTACTTCGGTGATATGTGGAAACTCTAGCTCAAGATCTTAGAGGGAACTTTGAACCCACTATACCAGTTTAAACAGGTTTGTGGCCTTTGGCTTTTTAATCTTGGTTCACTGTTAGATTTGAATGATTGCCAAGCAGTGTAAAAGCCTGGAAATTGGATATTAATCTTGAAACTCTTCTTCAGATTCTTTTCCCAGGGAGGATGTTACACATTAAACACTGCCCATCCATCTGGACACGGAAGAGTGTTTTACACTTTGTTTCAACTCTTATTCTCAATGAGAATAGAGGAAACTCAGTATTTTGCAAGAGTAGACACTGGAGCCACAAAGCAATATGAAGATGTTGTTGCTTAAATGACTGTATGGTTATTCTCATTAATAATATGACTTTGCACTCACATTAAACCTTTCCAGTAAAGGTAGCAAAGTATTTTGCAATTTATAATTCACAAAGAAAGCTCATACTTGTATCTTATTTTTGTGGCTTCACGGAATAAGCTGTGCCAGGGGTGGGAAGAGTTTATGATATTGAAGTGCCCCAACTAGCCTAACAGAAAATATTAACCATTTGTATACTATATTATTTTAGTCATTATTACATTTCCACCACCCTTTTGAGGAAATAGGGATTTGAATACTGGTTTTGTTTTAATTTGGAATAAATGTTAGTACTTCTATGGAAGAATATTGGAATGAAGAGTACTTTATAAAAAAAACCAAAACTTTTTTATATTGAAAGTTCAGCTCATAATTCACATAATGTTTATGAAAACTCTACCTTGCATAGCAACCTTTCAGTCTTTTACCCACATAATTCCTGTTGGTTTAAGAACTCCAGCCCGTGCTCAGTTGATATGAAACCCAGACAAATAGAAAAAATGTATAATACAAGTTGTTCTTCCCATGTATATATACATAGTACTTAAGATTTATGCCTGGTAGTGGTTTAGCTACAGTATGTGGAGAAAGTGTGTGGTATAACCATACCCTGGTTCTTTAGCTAAATTTCCTATTTGTACATTTATTTAAGTGACAAAAATTGGTGCTTCCATTCATCTGCAGAAGAATCCAGTATCAAGGGCTTCTCAAGGACTTCATAGGCCTTGAACTTAGTCCTGTTCTTAGGACAGTAACATCAATTTGTCCTTCTGAAAGATCTTAAGATCTGAAGTGAGCTGTCCCTGATTCCAGTACACTGAGTTTGTGCCCAACTCAGATGATGATCATCTCTGTGAGAAGGTCACGCAGAAAAGCCCAACAGAAATCGTAACTTCAGCAGACCAAAAGGATCGAATTCAGCAAGGAAACCTGTGTATGTCTTAAAGGCAGTGTCTTCATCCAGTGCAAATCAGAGTAGGTCCAGTTAGGGTTTGCCACTTGATTTCTTCAATCTGTGCTTATTTACCCTGGTTTTGGTCTGACTCTTTGCCCCTGACAGGCTTGTAAGGAGCAAACTGTATTTGCAAGTCTAATAATGTGGCTGAAACTGGTAATTACTGTACATACTTCCAGAAGATCTATAATATAATTAGCAGCTGCTTTGAGTTGCAAAATGACAATAAGAGAAGATTTATGTGCTTCCCTTTAACTTAAGCATGGTTTACTTCGATAAATACAATTCTGAGATAAGAATAAATGCGTATTGCATTGGGCAATCTTCCCTGTGACACTGAGATATGTATTACCTCTTTGCTCCAATTATCCCAAATGATGTTGCTTTCCCTTTTTCTCTGCTTTGATTACCTTTCTGAGTGTTCTGTACCACCCTTGCCAAAGGGATGCAATTATCCCTACAGGTTAAACCTCTTGACTTTGGGTGGAGAAGTTGTGTAAACGTGTTGCCGGTGTGGCGGCTCTGTGAATCAAACTCTCTGCCCTTACATAACTTCTTTTATTAAGAGTTCCACCTGAGAGCCTGTGGAAGCCTTGGCTGTTTGGGTAAGAAAATGACTGAAGCCAGGGAGCAAAAAAGCTCCTCCTGTCCTGGTCTGCCTGGTCCCTCACCATCGCTGTGCTGCCAAAGCTTGTTGCTGCTCTGCCTCTTTCCATCGTGGATGTTCCAGTGCAGAGACAGTGTCCACCACTGCAGCCTTTAGACAATCATTTACCACTTCTCTAGACTTCATTAAGCAGAAACTGGCCTGAAGTACTAGTGAATGCACTGTGAGCAGGGCCTTCCTAGACTTTGAAGCTTGAGGAAGGAGCCCAGCTGACAACAAGTCCAATTTTTTATATCTCAAGAGCCCAGAGAATTCTCAGTTTTTAAAGGCCAGTTCCACCACAGGTGTTTCCTGACACAACCTTAACAAAAAGACATGTGAGAAGGCCCTCACCAGAATTTCATCCCTTTCAGGCATGGTTTCTCCATCAGGACCAATGACTTAAGTTGTTCTGCTGAAGGTTAAGATTGCAGAGCTCATTACAGGGGTATAAACCCTACTGAGGGTCTTCCTTGCTTTCCACCCATGTCTAGCATGGTGAAGACAGATTTATTCTGTGGCCTTTCCAGCCCTCTGTGCTCAGAAGAGATTAAGATTTAAATCTTTTACTGCCCCCTCAAAGAAGGTGGAGTGAACATCAAAACAGCTTGACTGAAGCTCATAAAAACCTGTTCTCCCGAAACATCCTTGTTGCTGAGCTCACTGCATGAGGAATCCTTCTGTAGCCTGCCAGCCTTCAGCTCCATGGCACTGGTGTTGTGCAGTTCACTGATGAGGAGCAATACTAGATGCCTTTATGATAAACTCTTTGTTGGACCTCTAATCTCTGCATGGCTGCGCTCATTTGAAATGGGGAAGCAGACTACGTGCTGTGCAGCACTGTACACCCCGCTTAGGTAAGAGCTAAAATGCCAAAGAAAAGATCATGACAATAATAATAATAATAATCATGATGATGATGGGGATAATGATAAAAATAAAATGACGTAATTGGAAAATCTCTTGTGTTACCTTTGCTTAGTCTGAGCAATTCAGAGGAAAAACTCCCCAGTTCCCAAATCTTGGATTGGGAAAGAAACTCCCAGACAGCAAAATTAAAGGCGTAGTTATAATTTGTTTAATAACGGAGTGGCTTTTTGGAGGAAAAAGAGGAGATGCTTGAGATTTAAAACAGTAAAGTTGCCTAAAGCACAGAGTGAATGAATTGATGGTAACGTGGAACTCTGGGTTTGACTCTTCAGAGATGTAGAGGGAGCAAATGTTTGCTGCTTCAGCTGTTTATAAAATAATCCCTGGTTTCTTCATGAATGTTTACCCATTGCCACAATTTCAATCCCAATTCAGAAACATTTTAACTATTTTTCAGAAAGGCATTAGATCTAATGAAAGCTTTTCTGCTCATTTTGACAGGATTTTGAAACAAAACCCAAAAGATAACAAGTTTTAACATCTGTATTTTCTGGTTCACTCTTGTAGTAGTGCTGCTCTCCCTAAAAACTGCAGGATGATCTGGGACCTCATCCAACTCATGCTGAAGTCTTTCCACTCAAATAGAATCCTTGGTGAAAAAAATTAGAGGTGATTCCTAACTAAATACAACGCATTGTCTGTGATGGGTCTTGCAGTTACTCTTACATTTGTTCCAAAGCCTGGTACAGGACATATAGGAGAACTGCACAGTATGTCAGGCCTTTGTTTGAATTCTTTCCTTTTTATTTTGCAGGTTTTTGTTTTTGTTTTTGGTTTTTTTTTTTAATATAAAAAAAGGAGCAGGAAATTTATGAAAATACAGGCCGTGTCAACATAGTTCAATTTCTCAACTTGTCATCTTGTTTCAGTTCTAACTGGAAGAGCCTGAAGAAGGCCCTATGGCCAACTTGTCAGCTCTAATCTCCCCTTCTACTCTTAGCGGATATTTTATTAACACTTTTTAAGACTGTTTTTTATTTATTTTGTGGCCTACATGCTGAGGCAGCAGCCAGTTTGGTTTTCTTCATCTTACTCTCTCTTGCTCTCTGCTGCCTGAGAGAGAGGTTGGCTCTTCTGCCACGAGAGTCCACAAATCACAGCAAAAGGGGTTGTTGCAGTTTTCATAAATGTGGTGTTGCTTGAAAATTATAGACTGCAACTGCTTATTGCAGTTCTGTGCAATGGCTGTAAATTGGGCCCTGTGTCTTTCTGGTGACAGTCATTCCCGCAACAGGCCTTTTAGGAAATTGGAAGGGAAATTAAACAAGAGCCAGGGGTAGCTTTCCTTTTATCTTTGACGTGCCTTCCTGAAATCCTTATCTATCATATTCAGGCAGAGATGTTGCTGAAATGGTGGTGGATTTAGATGTTGTCTGCTCCTGAAGCTGCAGACTGCCGATCCTGCGCGCTCTTTGAGGCACATCTGTGTGCGGGGTCTGGATACACGTGAAATGTTATGAATGGTGGACCAGGATGACATGGCACCAATGGAATATATTATTTCTCCATTTTCACTGTTCATTCATTTAAAAAAACAGCTTTCTCAGGGCCATTTATAAAAGGTTTGAGGCGAACACGCTCTGCCCATAGGTAGGGAACGGTTTGCAGAGAAGATTGAGTGGTCAGTAAAGGAAGGCTACATGGTGACTTCATTTCTCTTGCCCAGGACATAAAGATGAATGAACTGGATACTCTGGCATCTCCTTTGTTGGCTATCTGGGCTGTGGATTCAGGCATGCAGGAGAAAACAAGTCTACCTGTTTGGTTGCTCGTTCCTTGCAGGATGTCCATGCAGGCAAGGAAAACTATGATTGTCTATTCCTCTTATCCACTGACCTAACTACCTGAGCCAGTGCAAAGGGTGGTAGGTAGTGCATAGAAAACTAATATAATCTCCTATAATATAAAATATTTTTTTTTTATATATATATACACATATGAATATGTATGTTATATACAATCTATAATGGAATAACTATATGATCCCACCCTCCCATCCTGAATAAGGAAGGAAAGTGCAAATGCAAGGTGCATTTCTGAGACTCAATACCTTCTTGAGTCTCTTGATGCATCTTACTCACCACCCTGTGTGCTGGGATGTGCCCAGTCCTAATCCAGCCCTGAAGTCCTGGCCTTCCTTCAAGTTTGGTTTGATGGGAAGGGCTCCTCACCTAACCTTACCTTTCTCCTCACCACAGGGCTTGCCTGAAATGAACTTTGTGTTGACACTTGTGCAGGCAAAAAGCCTCTGTATGGAAAGGAAAGGCCTTTTTGTGTCTGTTTAACAGAAGAAGAACACATGTTAATTCTGGCTATGGCAGGTCCTCCAGGCTCACACCTCCGACACACCCAATATAAAGGGAGTTTAAACAAGCACTTACCCTTAAGGGTGGGAGGGATGCTCAGTTTTATCACCTCACCACACCCCAGCCCTGGTTCCTCCAGGCCCTGTTAGAACAACCTGTGTGTGTTAAGTGCCTTCCATGTTGAGTTTTGTGTCCTTAGCAGTCACTTGCTCCATGATACTGCAAGGAAATGGTCAGGTACAAAAGCACCTTTTTTTGCACAGGTTGGAGAGAATCAGTCTAGGAAATGATGGGTTTAACACCTTCAGCCATCTCAAACCAAACCAGAAACCTGACCTTGAAACACCTGTGCCTCTCCAGCGCTGCCAGTATTGGTGCCAGTGGAACAATGCCTTGCCTAAATCCTCAGGCACACCTGGTGGGAACTGGCACAGGTCTGTGGTTGGACTCCCCACTCTGCCAGGGCAAAGCCTTGCTCGCTCTCTATGCCCTGTGTAAAGGAGCATGGGCAAATTAACAGGCACAGTTAAACGCAGTGATTGCCTTATCTTTGCTCTTAGAATTGCTTTTGATTATTCTGAGTGATAGATCCCGAGAAACCAGATTTGCTTTTGATCTTTAATACCACATATTTGCTTTTCACTAAGCCCAAACAAGGAAAAACTATAACTCAATTTCACTTTTCCCTGTCCCCTATTTGTTTTCATGTATGAGCACAGTGCTTCAATGTTCAGGCTGTAGATGATGCCAAGGAAAATTGAAGTCCAGACCAAGAAGCTACTTTCACTGGAATTTAGAAAAACAAATACAGAAAGCTTTCTGTTGCTCGTTTTATTTCATTTTCAATAAATCTAAATTTTGGGTCAACTCAACCTGACAGTGTTTATCTAAATAAAATGCAATGGTTATGGGAATGAGAGCTGAACCTTAAATCAGAGGAGGAGGAGATTTTTATTAGTATTTGGCTAGGAAGAAGGCAAGTGTCTAAAGAAGAGGATTTGAAGGCCTTGCCATGTTCCACTGAAGTGAGTATAAATTTTATCAGTAGCTTTGAAGCAAGTAGAATCTGAATCTAAATTAGTGATTCTGCATTACTTTATAACTCTTACTCAAATATAGTGCTTCTGGCTAACTTCACTTTTTAGCTGGAGAGCTAACTGGAGGGGTTATTTGGAGTTGCCTTAAACCTATATGCTGCTAAATGATTTACTGGATATTTAGATACCTATAATCCTGGAATTAGACCTACTGGGATATAAATCCCTGAAGCTCACAAGCAGTTAAATAAGGACTAAAAGGAAAAAGAAAAACCCATCTAATCCTTTCCATGCTAAGGTACATAATAGCACAAAATTGGAAAAATCCATCTTCCACACTGAATAAAGAGTGATTACAAATGAAGGCAAGAACATTATCCAAAAATATTAGAAGCTGTAGAAGTGCTATGATCAAATAGAACAACAAACAATTCCTGAAAGAAATGGAAACTGCATAAATGTTTATGTATGTGTTTTAGAGTGTCTGCACTGATGCTAAGTAGAGTTCCTTCTGCACACACTTTTATCAAAATTTTAGTGAACCAAATTCCATACTTTTATTGCAAAGTTTTCCTTTTTCTCTGCCAGGATAGCATATCCAAAGCTCTTATAAGGAGATGAAAACCATGGGCTGGATTTGCTGAGGTCTTCTGCCTTCTTGGGAACAAACACAGACTGAATTGGCCAAGATGGAAGTTTAGCTGCCTGCCTTCGAAGTGGGTATCCTTCTTGCTCTGTGAGTATCCTTCTTGCTCTGTGTTTTCCACTCCTGATGAGTTGGTAATACAGTTTCATTGTAGACAGGCAAGATCCACAGTTTTGTTTGCATCGTGCCAGAAAAACTGGTTTTGAAGGACTTCCGTGGGATTCAGTGCTGATCCAAAATACTGCACAGTGCTGAGGAAATGAGGACAGAAAGCTTAAGCTCAGAGAATGGTCCCTGTAGCTGAAAGGGGCAAACTGTTCCCTTGATGGGGTGTTTGAGGCTGTGGGCAGGGCAGTATCTCTTGAACTGAGGGTTGTTGTATGCACTGCAGTGATCCTGTGGGAAAGGAAATAATACACTTCCATGCTAATTCCCCAAGTGTTCCTGGAAGAGCCAAGTTCTGAACTGGCTGTGGTACTTCCAGTACCTCGTCTGGTCATTCTGAAATGGATTTCACAAATATTTCACATGTGTCAGGTGGGCTGATGAGAAAGAGAGGAACTCCAAGAAGGACCCTTGCTCTGCTGTAGAGCCGTATCACCTTCATATTGCAGAAGTTCAGCTGCATCCTGCAGTCCTGGTGCTAGGAAATTAGAAGCAATTCCCTCAGTAAGGTGACTTACATGTGAGCAATGACAAATACTTCAGGATCTGACCCTGCACCACTACTGTATAAATGTAATTTTGTACAAATAGTCACATTCATGTGCAACCAGTGGATATGTTACTTTGATCATTTAAGAAAACGAGCAGAGGCAGGTAATTAATTGTGGCCGGTAAGTGTTTGCCCAGTATTCAGAAGCAGGAGCTGATCATGGTTACTCTGCCTCTGGGGCTATCTTTGCATAATTTCCTTTGTTTTGTAACACAGTGTGCATTCCAGACACTGGGGAAGAGTCATACAGTCCCTTTATGGTGGAATCTGTATGTTTACCAGTACCCATGTACAGTTTGTGTGAATGTATTTGTGGCCTGTCTCTGCCCACTGACCTGGGTTGTGGATCCATTCGGGAGGACCAGTGGGCACCTGCTCATTTCAGGAGGCAGCAATAAGCCTTGGCCAAATGTGGTCTGCTACAGTCATGTGTTTCCCAGACTGCTCCAAATCTCAGGGCAATTTTACGTGTTTTGCCCTTCAACATATGATTTATAGTGGTGAGTCGTGGAGTCGGTGTTTCCCTTGATGGATTTTATTCCACAATAGGCGTTATTGAAATGAAGAAGTGTCAGAGTTCACAGAGCAGAGTTTCTCCTGTGCAGCACTGCAAGGTGCCTGTTCTCCTTCCCTGGCTCCTCAGCATTAGTCATTAGAGACTGGCTGTTTGATGAGCCTGGAGGATACGTAGCAAAGCAAAACTTGCTGCTGGGGCAAAAGAGCTTCCTCAGAGTTTTTTTTTTCTTGGAGATGCACATTTTAAGAGCTCCTCCAACAAATACCAACAAGGGCAGAAGCAGATAAATGCTAAGCTTCCTTTGCATTCCACAAGAGGTCCCAGCTGGTCTTTCTCTTCCAGCAGTAACCCTGGGGCAGAAGGCAATGCATTTTATTTCCTCTCACAGTATGCAAACCAAAACCTTAGTAAGGCTTGACACAGCCATTCTTCTCCCTGTGTAATTCAGGGGGGTTCCCTAAAGATTGTACTGGATGCAGGGTGGCCTAAGACTTTCTTAACACTTTGGCTGAAATTCTATTCAGTTTTATCACTGGGCTTTGCATGTGGATGAATTTCAACCACAGTTTCTACTTCACCTGTGTTACTGACTTTTAAGGCCAGCAGGAACCATTATGGTCATCTTGGCTGAATCCCATAAGCCAGAGGATTTTGCCTGGTGATTCTTGCATGGAGCTTGTGGTAGAGCTTGAGCACATAGTTTAGAAAGGCATTCAATCCTGATTTAAAAACTCAAATGACAGGGACTTTGCCCTGGATAGTTTACTATCCATTCTGGCTTGTGGATCAGAGAGTTCATTGCCTCTGGAAATGTTCTCTGCTGGCAACAGATATCCTCAGGTTCCACAACAGAAGTCCCATTGATATTACTGGGAATGTGGTTCTTCCCAGTGTGAGATACACACTGAGCCCTTCTGCAGGTGTGATTCTCTCTGACCCATTCAGAGGACAATGAGTGAGAACTTTCTCAAGGCTCCAGTTATTTCCATCTGGTAAAGGAAGGATGCACTTGACAGGTGTCTGCTGGCCTTTTCAACTCTAAATGGCCAATCTCCAACTGGCTCAATGGTGGGACAGTTCACAGAGGAAGGGGAAGCATCCCTGTGTGCACACTTCCTTTCAGAGCAAATCTTCAGGCCATGAAGAACCTGTTTGAGGTATTTCAACGTGCTTTGGATTGAATTATTTATCTAGAGAAAAAGTTTGATGCAGATATTTGCTGCCCATTTTTTCCTTATACAGCCTGGAAGAGCTGTTTATTGTGTACTCTAGACTCTGAAATCAGTAGTCCCAGAGCAATGCCCTCTGTTTTTTAATTTTAAACTGAAAAGACCCCAGCATGCTTTAGCTTTGCTTCTCAGGTTTTGCCTTTTCATTTATTTTTTTTCCTAACAGGGACAAGCCTTAAGCACAGGTGGCTGCTGTGGTTCTTTATTTCTGCTGATAGCTATTGACCTGCCAACTGGCTATTCTCTTGGTAATTGTAAACAGGTTCCTAATGGTTAAACTTCCTTCCATTTAAATTCTGTAGTCCAAAAATAATCTAGTATTTTATTAACCAGGGAACATATTATTAAACACATACATCATTCTTACCAGACTTTACCTCTGTAAAGCTAAGTAGTTTCAGGACAATGTTTTAGGGTTTTTTGGTGGTTTTTTTTTTTTTTTTTTGTTTTTTTTTGTTGTTGTTGTTGTTGGTTTTTTTTTGTTTGTTTGTTTGTTTTGGTTTGGTTTTTTGGTTTTTTTGGGGTTTTTTTCTCTTTTAAATTTTTTGGGATAGGTCTCCAAGCAATTGAAATTAAAAAGTGAATTGAGTTAGTGGTATGTAAGTAGAAAGCCTGGGAGCCAGAAGCTATACACAATTTTGACAGTGTGTTTGAAACTCCATGAGAAAGAGTATCTGACAAGTAGCAGACTCCTCGCTGGTTATGATAGACTCAGAAGTCAATAGTTGATTTCAAGGAGTGTATTTCTCTCAATTATCTTGGTTTAAATGAGTTATGACACCTAGATTTTTTTATTTTATGCTATTTACATAACTGGTTTGAATTGCAAAAATCCATTATACTTTCTCAGCTATCAAAAGAAAGGCAAGACCTTCCTGGCATCAGCTGGGTGACCCCTTGAGTTAGCTGATTATGAAAATATCAGGGCTTTCATATGTTAATGTGATCCGGGCGAGAGCCCTTCCGGAACGGCCAAACCATATGGAGTTTATATCTCAGTCGGTACGTGGGGAAACGAATCCAAAGTTATTTACTGCAGGACATGGTGACTTGCTCCTTGACTCTCTGAATCTTTGTGAATGAGTGTTAATGCTGGGGGAGCTGACAGGCTGCTATCACAGGCTCGGCCGCGCTACAGCGCAGCAGGCTCTGCTCAGGCTCTTGCACACGCCGCTCTGCCAAAGGACTTCAGCCTTCACCTACAACATCCTTGTTTTTCCATTACTAAGACTTTCCTGGATGTAGGGAGCCAAAGAGACACATTAACACGGGCCTGCACGCCAGAAGGCACAGCGTGTCTCTGGGACCAGGAAACGCGCTCGTGGTTTAACAATGGATGGAGTTACCCGCGTTTGTTTTTCACCTGAGTTCATCTTAACTGCCTCGGGTAACATCATTTAGGTCACCTAATGGGTTATATAAGTGAACTGTGGCTGGCCAGCGTGTCTAAATTTCCTCTTCCCACAATAATTGGAATAGACAGCTTTACTTTTCCTCTCGTTGCCTCAGCTGGATGTCACTTGGGTACGATCCTGTCCTATTGTGCTCTTCTAGAAAGGTCTGTGGGTTCAGCATCGGTGGTGCAACTCATCTGGACATCCCTTTGCCTGGCTAAAAATCAGTATGTTACTACAATCAGCAGCTTTTACCGTTGGCATGGCTGCTGCTTCACTGCAGTGAAAGTGTAATTTCCTTTTCTTTTTCCAAATATGTCCCTACTCTGCCTTGAAGGATGTGTATTTTTCTACCTTTCTACCTAACCAATCAAAAAAAAAAAAAAAAACCAATATGGGATTTTCTGGATTTCTCAGTTCTTGAAACAATCCATGGCCACAAATGAGTAGTCTCAGTGGAGAAGAAAGCAGAAGGCTAAAGAGGAGATAGTGAACTAAATGGCATCGAAGATCCTGTGGTCTGGGCCAAATTGTGATTGTGTCTTCTTTTAATATATTTGGTAATTTTTAATGACAAAAGACTGCTTATTCTAAAATATTTCCTTATTTTTCTGAATAATTTTAATGTGTTTGAACATTTTCTTTTATTCTAAAATATTTCTTTATTTTTCTGAATAATTTTAATGTGTTTGAACATTTTCTTTGTTTTTCTTCAGGGGGTGTTTTTGAAAATTCAAAATCTTGAGTAATTTCTGACATATATCCACCTCTCAATCCATATAAAATTTTAAAAGTGCATTTCTGGGTTTTTTTAGTATAAATACAAACTTTTCAGGCCGCATAAACTTTCCTTGTGAATCATGAAAACCAAACCCAATGGGAAGAAGTAGAAAAGAGAGAAAACTTGGGCATAATTGGTTCAGGGCTTGGGAGAGCAGTGCCAGAGAAGGGACTTACTCCAGAAACCTTCCCCTTGCCACGTGCCCCTGTAGCAGGGCTCTTCCTCCCGGAGCCATCCATCACATAACACTGTTTTTGCACTGCTTCTCTTGCAGGGGTCGTGCTGGGAGGGTCCCTCACAGCTGACTTGAGCAAAGTAAACGCGGTGTTGAGTTGCTTGGCTTCCACCTTAGAACTCAGTGTGGAATCTGGGAGCTCTGTGGGGCCCCCAGTGCTGCTCGTTAGCCCGTCCTCACATCTCAGCAGCAGCCTGGGCAAACCTCTGCTCTTCGTGCCTCTGCTGTGCCCCGGCACCACAGGCACAAATAATTTTGGATAAGACTGCACTGAAGTTTGATTTAATAAATCCCTCTAATAAGTGCAACAAAGGAACAGAAAAGATCCCTTTGGTGGCTGAGCCAGCTTAAATGAGCAGAATGCTTCCTAATTAACAATCCAGTGGTTCACTTCGCATGCTCGGCTTTATAAAGAGCAAAGTGAAAAATACTTTAAAAGCGTTCAAAGACATCTTTGTTTTAAAGGAGTAAGGAAATGCTGCTCTATCCACTGACCACCACCATGGACCATAAGGCCATGCAGCTCTAGGTCACTCTCACAAAATGGTTGCCAATATTTCCTCAGCAGACCCTCTATTGATTGCATAAATACAGTACAGTACCCATGAGGTAGTGTTGACCTGTCACAGAGTAAAGATGTGGCAAGCCCCATAATTCATTACCAGTTGGAAATAGAACATCATTGGAGAGATAAGGATAACAATGACTTTCCATCCAATGATAAATTACTAGCAGCTGCATTATTTTCCCTCACTTATATATGGCTCTCTTTATTGAATTTAGCTTGAGATAAATAAATGATCTGCCAGGAGCCTGGTTAATATTACTTCTCTGGGACCCATTTCAGGCCCAACTAGGCTTTTGCTGATAATATCTTTAAGCTTTTCAGTAGGGAGAGACATAACATTTGTTTCTGACAAGAACCCTATGTCGCCTTATCTGTTTCATTTGAGAGGCCGTCGACCTCAGCTTCTTTAGTTAAAATGAGAGCTTTACTGTAGAGACTAAGTTCTTGAACTTGACTCTCTTCTTACAATGAGATTATATGTCCTGGTTGTAAATTCGAAGCCACACATGATATACAGTTATTCTTAGCATTTCCTGTTGATCACAGGGTGGTATTGATTGCCCCTGCTTTTGAATATTTCTCTGATTTGTTTGAAAAGGAATTCCATCTTTTTTTGTGTTATTATTTTTCACGCCACAGTAATCTGTGAGCTTGTTGATGCACACTCATATTTAACTTCATGGATTTGTTCCACTTGAAAATGACTGGTTTTTTTACAACCTCTCCCTCCTCCTTAGAAAAGAAGGCTTAACAAACATATCCACTTGATTAAAAATAAAAAAGTCAGTTGAAAAACAAAAGATTAACTCTTTCTGTGAACTAAGGTGCCAGTGAAGGCACTTGAACTCGCAAAATTCTTTTTCTTACCATTAATAATTGATGTACTGCTTCAGTGATCCAGGCTTTGCAGGTACCATTGGAAAAGAGAGAGCAGGGAGGGGATAGAGTGAAGGTGTGAGGCAGCAGGCATGTTCAGCCTGTGCTGCACTCCTACAGTAACTGTTTGGATACCTCCATTGTGGTATTTTTGTTATTTCTGGGAAGCCCTCTCATCAGGTTTTAGATTAAAATCAGGCAGTTGCCATTTTTCATACAGCATGAATTAGAGGAAATTAAACCCGACCACTTCTGATAAATCCTCTCATAAATAAACTGGCTGGTGGTGTTAAATAAAAGTCCAGCCACAGTTTGATTCACATTGCAGAGAACAAAGAAAGAGTTCTGCCTATTTTAACACTCCATCATTATTATTGTTATTTATACTATAGGAATGCCTAAAGGCTCCAGCTGAGTTTGGAGCCCCCATCTGCTAAGTGCATAATCAGGCTTGCCTGGAGGAGTTTGCAATAGGAATAAGATAGAAAAAAAAAGGGGAAAGAACTATTATATCTTTCTATGCCTTTTTCTTTACAGTTGGGAAACTGAGGCACAAAGAAGGAAAGGAATCTGCTCAAGGCAGTGAGGAAAATCTTCGGCAAGGTTGGCAACTTCCAAAAGATCGTCGGAGTTTCTGCCAACTCTCTTGATGTAAGATCCTTTCCTACAGTCTTTTTGGGGGGTCACCTGTCTCCTTTATGCTTTCCTGTCTCCTTTATGCTTTCCCACTAGGCAAAAGTTAGAAGATAAAATGGGAATATGACAATAAATCTCTTTTGTCTGATGTTAGAAGAATTTGCGGTTAGGAGAAGAGGCACACCCTGAATGGCATCTTGCATAGATTTGTGTAAAAGGAGATATAATCTGTGTGCATTTTAATTTTAATTTGAACAATGTCTTGTCTTGAAATGAAATAACGAAAATTTGCCTTTTTGTATAATAGGAGTAGTTTTGGCATGTACTGGCTATTTGCCTTTTCACATCAGAAGATAAAAAAAATCTTGCACAATGCTACTAAAAGGCAGAAAGGTTAATATTTATTAAATCAGAAAAATAGGATAGTCATGTGACACTCAATCTGTGTCAGCCAGAACCAGTTCTTGTTTACCTTGAGAGGCTGACAGAATCTTCTCACCAATAAATATTAGCTAAACTCTTCAGAAATTAATTTCCCTTACAATCACAAACACAGGCAGCAGGGGAAGGGAAAAAAAAAAAAGGATGGTGGATATGAAGTAAATTATTCGCTGCCAAAGAATGAGAATGCATTTTCCATTTCTGCTGTGCTGCCATTCTAATGTTTCCCTGAGAACCCGGAAAGTATCAGGATGAGATTCACACACACACACAAAGCCAAATTAAAGTGGCTTCATGCAGGGCTTTCCACAGCAGAATGAATTGACTCCTGTGCCCTCTTGTACACACAAGATGTGTGAGCAGAGGGAGGGGAGGAGGACTGCAGCAGGACACTGATGTTGTAGTAGTCCCCAGAGCAAGCTGGGACAACAGTTCCAGGGGCTTCTGACCACAGATTCCTGTAGCTTTTTCACCAGGTTACTTATCTCACCAGATATTCTGTGTGGTGATCTGTTTGGGCCTGGGGATGTATGGATTGCTTCTTGGAGGGGTGAAGTCATCAGACCCCCCCCCCTTCTATCCAGACCATGTCATTGCAGCAGGAAAGGGCAATATATATCACTAGAAAAGTTACTCTAGTGAATCATTCTTACTAAGATCCCTGTGCAGTGGTGAGTAAATGCAGTGACTCTTTTCTGTGAGCCTCGGAAAGCAACTTGACCGACACGTGGGGATGCTCAACTGGGAATAAAACCCTTTGGGATTTGATTATTAAAGCACCCTTCCTTGTTAAGAAGTGGCTGCTTTTTCCTACAGTATGGGCAGTGCCTCTGTATTACCAGCTGTGTGGTGTTCATCTGTTGCATTGCTGTTTCCACAGAATTAGTTTTTCTTCTTTTTTTTTTTTTCTACACGAGCCATGTCTATAACAGTTTCTTTGTCTACTGTGAAGCTACTATAGAGTTTAATCTTCAGCGAGGTGCTGAGAGGTTTCACAGCATCGCTGTCAGTACATCTTTGACAAGAATCTTTTGCAAACTTTGGCAGAGGAAGTTTAGCTTCTGTATCTACCTCCAAATCTGGTTGGGTTCAGCTCAGCCACAGACTCCTTGTCTTTTGATGCTTAGTCAGCCTCCACTCCGACCACCTGTGTGCAGGAACACTGGTGTGACTTCCCTGCTAGTTGTCAGATGCCATCTTTGCAGGCAATCAGACCCACCTTTGGTGATGATTATTATCCCTCCCTCTGGATCACCACCTTTACAGACAATTTACAGTAACAGATCACACCACTGCTCTGTGGTTCACATCAGTGTCGGGTGTGCAGATTTAACCTGCCTTCTTCAGTGATGGTTCAGGAGTGGTGTGGTGTTAGTCACTTGGAGTGTTATTCACAGGGAGCTGGGCCAAGGCCAACAACTCAATTCACGTTATTGGCTGAGCAAGAAAAATGCCACTGGTGCTGACCTTGTCATAAATCCCCAGCCCCTGTCCCCATGCCACCAGCTCTCCAGACCAGCCTTTTAAAGACTGATTGTATCTGCGTTCTGGTTGCCAAAATTGTTTGGGATTTTTGTTATTTCAACTCTGTGGTCTCAGAGGAGCAAATTCCTCAATAATTTTGCTTTCTCATCAGCCAAAGGCGCCACTCTGTGCTATGTGCCAGCAAGGCTGGAGAACAAGGCTGTCTTTAAATGAAAAAGCCTTGCCTTTTCCTCCTCGCATTCGTACAAGTTAAACATGACTTCTTACTTCTGTCATTCATCCTATTAAGAAAACCCCAGACTGCCAAGTGTAACCTCATTTGCCAGTTTCCAGGGGATGGCAAGCATTTATACCTGAATCATAAACCCTGAAGGAAGGGCCTTATCTGATGTGGTTCACCAGGCTTAATGGACTGGTCTATGCAGCTGCATCACCTTGGGTAAGAACTTCAACAGAGCCTCTTAAAAATAGCCTGCTTGATGTTACATGCATTGTGCCCAAGGATACAGGTGTTTATATTTACAGACTTTGTACTTGACTGCTTTAAGTGGTTCTCTGGTGGCAGGATCTGATTGAGCAATATTCTAAACTGGGTTTGATTCAGTTCGAAATTCCAGCTCTGCAGCAAGATTTTGGATCAAATGTGGTTTGACCAGTTATCATCCTCTCTCGGCCTCACTCGTAGGATGGAGATGCATTAATGTTGTGATTATTGCATTAATGCATTAGTGTTGATGATGTAAGACTGAAGGAAGACTTTCTTTCCTTGTAGCCATTACTGCTGAACCAGTTGTTCTGATGATTTACCCAGAAAGCCCTAACTGTCCTTATAAATGTAAAATTTCTTTTTTTTTTTTATTCTTGAGCAGATGGAAGACTTAGATGGAAAGGAATAAAAACATAATTTGCCAAAGCCCTCAATTAATCATAATCAAGTTTGTGCATGTTATACTCTACAAGGGTAACAACAATGAAACACAAGGAGAAAAGGATGCTTTCCTCAGGCAATTCTGGAGACATAAGAGCAATAAAGAAGCATACTTCAGAATAATGTGGAGATATATGACTGCACTAAATAAAAATGCTTCTTTAACGTACTGTAAAAATAAAGATGTTTAGTTAGATTTATCATTCATGTTACAAGCACAAATTGATCCCCTGGACTACACCATTGGCTCTGAAAGTTATCCAAGGGATGGTTGCGACCCACTCTTTTCTGTAATTACTTAAACATTGTCTCATTTGTTAAAGAGACAACTAGATTATTCCTTTTTACTCTGAGGTAATAAATATGGGGCACCTCGATCACACAGATACAGATTTTTGACTTTTATACCATATTTTAGCCATCTTTAGCCATCTTGGGTATAGTGAGAGGGATGGCTTGCTTATTAGTTTCCACGAGTCACATCCAAACCTGTGAAAAGGCATTTTTTTAAACTAGTTTTACAAATAGCAACATGTTAATTGAAAGCAACCCCACTCCCCCAATCCGCTCTTGATTGACTTGAGAACATTCAAACCCAGCGAGATTCATTTCTGCAGCCTCATTCAACCCTTGCAATGAGCAAATGAAACAATTGTTTTATTTGTAAGAGGAGATTATCCCTTGAAGGCAGATAGGAGGATACTGCCTACAGAACCCCATTTGCAGGCACAAAGGGCGCTTAGTCAAGTTTTGGCAGTGATACTGAAGCTATTAGTTTTGGATATGAGTTCACTGATGTTCAGTGCTGTAGATTTCCAGTTAGTTCATGAAGGGCCTTTAAAATTACACACAGAGCTTCATTAATTGCCTCAGAAAAGAAGCAACAAATATCAGGCCCTTAAAGTGCGTGTGCACAGAATGGCCATTGATTGCAATGAATATTCCCCACTGGAGAACTGATCCTACGTCCTGGGAAGGCAATCACAGTTTTTACAGTGGTTGCATCAGTCACTGCCCCAAAGTGCAAGGGCTTTGGAGGATCAGGCCCTAGTAGCTGCTATCTGCTATCTATCTATCTATTTGTCTAATTTATCTGCATATGTGGTTTATATACACATCCACACACATGCATCTATATAATCCTGATTCGTTGTGTTAAAAGTGTTACAGTGATTGTTTTAACTCAAGTTGGAGACTTGAGACAAGATGCCAAACTCGGGGTCTTTCAAAAGAAAGGAATAGAAATCCAGCTTTGTGGTGTTGAAGGGTTTTTTTGTGTCCGTTATTCCATTTGATAGAGAAGTGCCTGAACATTTGTTCTGCAACCAGCTGTCCATAAAGGAGAATTTCCTATGCCTGCCTTGCAAATGGCACAACCTCATGTGATCCCTGATCACAACAAATTGATTTATTTAAATAAAAATAATGATCTTCTTTGCTTTCTCCAGCCCCAGCAGCAAAATCCCATGTAACCCTGATCAGCAAATTGATAGTTATCTTCTTTTGCCCTCCTTTCTCAAACCCAAACAATACCACCCTGATCCCCAAGTAATAAGAAAATGATTTATGCAAACAAAAATAATTATCTTTCTTTGCTCTCCACCCTCTGACTGTATAATCTCAGCAGCTCCTTGTTTAACAAATTGATTTATTTAAATTAAACAAATGGTGATCTCCTTTTGACCTCTGTGGAGCACTTCTGTGGCAAACTCCTACCACTGCTACCACCTTACCCATATGCTTAGAAGGATGTATTTTAAAGTATAGCAGCACTTTAAACTTGATACTTTGTGATTCCTTTAATCAAAACTCATGGAAGCTCTGCTTCCATGCAATGAAATTACAACGTGTGTCGTCTGAAAAATAAGAAAAGTAACTTAAATGTACCCTCCTCCATATTTTCGATGGCAGAGATGATTATTAATTTAATTTCCCAGGTGAAACTGTACAAAGGGTGGCTGTGTGTGGTTTGTCTACACCCACCTCTCCCTCGAGGTTCTTTACAGACAGACTTTAAAGCACTGACAAACTCAGTGCACAAATATGTGTGGGGCCACCTCCCCTAAAACACTGACAGAGCCATCTAGTGCCAGCCTGCTCCGTGACAGACACCAGCACCAGCTGATGGGTGAAAACAGGAGCTCCAAGGGTTTCATCCATTATGTTTTATGGTTCTGTCCAACCACAGTTTGTGTTGTAGGACTCAGCCTCTCACTGGCAAAACTTCCACAGGCACGAGGAGAGGCAGAGTCCTGCTTGTCAATGGTTCCAGTGACATGATCTTTTTGTTCCACATTCAACAGTCCCGAAGGTATATAAACACATATAGATGTGTATGTATCTGTGCATTTTTTACTGTGCTGGTTTAAGTTTGCATTTTCTGTGCTGTCCAGCCAGTATCTCTGTTTTGTGCAGCTGCTGCTTAAACAGTCATTTTGGCATTATACAGAATTACATAATTATATGTGCCATAAGCAAAAGTGCAAATAGTCCCACTTAACACCTAATCATGTGATATCTGTTGTGAAATGCTGGCGAAGTAGCCAATAGATGTGACTGTTACTTTGCTGTTAGCTCTGGTTCTTTGGAGGGGAGTACGGACTGCAGCTGGAATTTGGCACAGATGGAAGAGGGATTAAGTGATAGTGGGAGCCTGAGTGTATTGTATATAGAAACATTCTTTCCTCGACCAGTTTCTGTGGTGTGTAATACTCTGAGCAGGACATTGGTGTTAACCAGTCTCCCAGATTTGGAAATACTTTGCTTTTTTAGCAGTTTGTTCACACCATGTGTCTGCTTTGGTTTCAGACCCACGGTGCTCTCTGACAGAAGACAGTGACATGACAGGAATGGTGACACAAGGCTCTTACTGTTACATTCAATAATTGATTCTTCTGGATGGATTGTGACTCCCTAAAGGTTGCAAAGAGAGGTAAGAATGATTGGACAGCTTCAAAAACATTGGTTCCTTCCAAAGTCAGGAAGTTTTCACTCCCTTGAATCCTTCCCCTTCACGGTCCAGCACTCTTTGTGACTCTTTGGAAATACATGGGAAAATCATTAAGAGAGATTGTTTTTATCAACCAATCATTTTTTTCTTTCTTTTCCCAGTAATTTTAAGTGGGTTTTGTAATGTTGAACGCTGAATGGGGAATCACCATGTGAAAAACGTGTTTGTGTCCATTTTTATGGTTGCCACAAACTCTCCATAGGAAATCCAGATAAAAGGGAAAACATTGCAAAAACTGGTAAAGAAATTACAAAGTAAAAATATGGACACCTCTGAAGTTTTTCAAATCCCACTTTTTTTTAAATTTTAAATGTATTTTTTATTCTTCCAAATGCCGAATAAGTGAGGTTTTTGCATCTGAATACTTTTGGAGATATAGTCTGAAAATGTACTTGGATATTTGTTTCAGAATATTCAATTTCAAAATTCAGTCCTTCCCTTGCATTTGCATTACCTTCACTCCTGACTTGCACAAGTAAAATGAGGTGAGACTCAGACTAGAAGATTATGCAAAAATGTTCCTATAAAAAAAATAATAACCTTGTTCTGAAATTATACCTGGAAGATTAGAGCTGCAGCCTTTTAAAAAATTCGGCCACTCTGTATTGACTTGCCAAGAGAGGCAAGTATTTCTGCAGATGGCTTGGAATTAGTAGAACATGAAATAATGTCAATGGTACTGGTAAGAGGATTAACCAGCAGTTCTGATGTTATTGAACAGTTTGCAGAGACCATATTAAACAGCCACATCAGTCCACAGGTCAGCCCTGCAGTTCTTCTGCTAAGCAAACACAGATGTAGAGTTCCCTTTTTCATGGCCATCATTTCATGCCTTTGACATATGTTAGGCTCTTGGGACTCAGTGGCATATTTACAACCTGGACATTAAAGATTCCTTTTTTTTCAGATGATTAGTGGACACCGACATCTAAATCAGTAGTAAAAAGAAAAGCAGGAACCCAGGAGAGCGGGGAAGGACTCCAGCAATGCAAACATGTAAGTGAAAGATTAGGCTGCTAGAAAGTTCCCTGACGAAACACCGGGGGCTTTTTCAGTTGATGACAAAAATTCTCCTTAAGAATCCAGTCAGTTTTAAATCTCTTTTTCTTTTGGGTTGATCTTCTCTTTATTTGGCCAAAGCTGCCTATGAAGTTGCAGTGGTTGAATTTCACAAGGCGGGAGGAGTTCAGCTCGTGTCAGCACTGCCAGGCCTCTGTGCTTGTTCAAAGTTTGTGCAGATCTCCTGGGGCTACAAATTGGCCAGAAGAAATTGAGGGAACAGTCTGTCTTACAATATTCCCGTTCCTTTTCTATTCCAACAGAAACTTTGGCAGTTCTTTAACATTTTCCTCAGCTTTTTGTTTTTCTGAAACTGGGAGTCAGAAATTAAGAAAATGAATAACACAACTATGTGATAAACAGGGTTTTTTTTAATGCACACAAAATACATACTTACCTGTGTGCAGCGAGGACATGGTGGGACAGGTTCTTCTTTCATCTGGATGGTGTCTCAATCCTGAAAAGTTGTGCAGTTTCCAAATAAAGATATAGGTACAGACAAGCTGTATGTCAAGGCAGAGCTCCTGAATGTAAAGGTTGTTGACAAAGAATTCGTTTGGAAAGAAGAAGATAAACCAACTGATAAATTACAGAGCCTTTGGTCAGTAATTGTTTAATATGATGCAAATTTTAAGTGAAATTTCCAGCGTACAACTGCTCCACGTGTAGCCACTTCTTCCTGTGAGAGGAAATAAATATGCAACCGGAGAGTGTAACAATGAATTACATTCAACCTCAGAAGTGCTTTAGCATGTCTTCAAGAGCTGCTGCTGTCTTCAGTGATGGATTATAAGTTAGCATGAGATCCCACAGGCATGGCAAGGTATTTATGTAGTGTTCTGATTGCTGAGACACCTCCAACAAATGTACAGTCAGTGCGAACAGAAATCAGAGTATCACTATCTCCCACTTTATTTCATTTGTTTATATTTAGCAGGTGCTGGAATATTACAAACCACTGAGCACAACTATAGTTGGGATATAGTTTCCAAAGCTTATTTACAGTAGCTTTCAATCACAGTGAGTGATGGTATATTAATCCATAAGTAGTTCCATTGATTTCAGGGAGTCCTTGTACAGCTGAGTATATCTCGATTTGGTCCCATGTTTGAAATGTAGAAAGAGCTCATTTCCTGCCATGTTCTTAAGTGCATGAACAGTTTGAAAAAAGCCCTACCCTGAGCTCTCCCCAAAAAACTCATAATAGTGCAAAATACTGACAAGGCTGGTGGGATGCAGGTTTTGCAATATTTTATTGTGTTGCAGAAATGGTGATAAAATGTTCCTCAGTTATACAGAGATGGATGTGCGTTCCATGTGCTGTTTTCAGCTGTGTACTTACACCACTCCAAAATCCCAAGGAGAAAAGGAAAAGCTGAGATTCACATCAGTAGCAAAGAACATCAGGTGATGTTGATTTAAAGAAAACATTAATCAATCCAGATTTGCTTGGAACCGGGCCCAGGTTCACTCAACAGGTTGGTGAACCTTAGCAAATGTTTCTGTGAATCTGTTCTGTGTTTTGACTTTGTAACGTGATCTGAAATCATCTGAGTTTCATGTGGTTTTGTTGTGCATGTTTTGGAACGCTCCTGGGGTGAATCCAGGGAAAGACAGGGGTGCTAAATTTTGCATGACGCATAAGGTAAGCAGTGTTTCACTCTTCCTGACACCCCCTGATACCAAAGTGAACAACAGTTGATGCTGTCAGCAGAGTTTTGAAAGAGGAGACAATCACTGTCTGTCAGGCTTCTTGTGTCTCCAGCAGTCTTTATTGTGGAGCCAAGAGACAGTCTTCAAATCATATCATGAAAAATGTTATCGTGAGTTTTGGACTGTTATTTTCTTTTTCTCTGTTTCTGGTAAATGTCAAAAGTTTTACTGTGTAGGCAGGTACTGGAGTTGTGAACAGTGTGTTAGGCTTCTTGATGTATATTGGTTTGAAGAAGTTATACAGTGCTAGAAAAAATTAGGTTTTTATAGTGAGTCTGCGGATGAACAACTTGTGTTTTAACTTCATTCGGTTTGGATGTGAATTCATAAATAGGTGTACTCAGCCTCTATATAGCTGAATATAAAGTATTTAAGATCCATCTACACCAATCAGGTAAAAAATATGATGAGGTGACAGTTTCTATTAATTTTATTTTTAGTCCAAACTAGAGCCCAGAGCAATAGAGATGTGAGACACTCTGCACAAGAAACAAAATCTAATTCATCAGAGGATGCCAAATTTTTCATTCTGTTTCAGAGTGAGCAACAGAATTTTGCTGGAGTTGGGATTTTGGAGAGAAAGGCAGATGGGAGGAGCTGTTTATTTTTTTTTTTACACTGATTTACTGCCTCATAATTGAGCCCCATTTGTGGATCAGTGTTATGACAGGGAGCTTAGAGAAAAGGAGGTCAGTGAGTTTAGCTTAGTGGCCTGGCATATATACAAGGTCAGACTAGATAATTTAACTGTCACTTCTGGCCTTAAACTTGAGGAAACTGAAGACGGAAAAATCAAAGTCTGCAGAGGTAATAAGTAAGAAAAAAAAAAATGTAACAGGCTGGAGTGTCCTTTAATGCCCCCGAGGTTCAGCATTCCCTAACCCACCAGGTGCACTGGGGGACAGCCACAAATGGAGTGGCCCTGTTGGTCCATTTGGAAGCACAGCAGGAAGGAAGAACAGTTTGCCCATAATATTCAGCTTGAAGCCGATATCTTCATTCCCCTCTAGAATAGTTGTGTTTGCACCCCCTTGTACTGTGGCATTTTTCCACTAAGGTTGTCTCACTTATTTAACTCGACATACAGAGCACCCCTCTGAGGTCTTTGAGACCCAAAACAGCATTGGAAGCGACAGCCCAGACAACACAGGTAATCATATCAGACCTTGTGGGACTGCACTGACTACTTTTTAATTGATAATTCCAAGTTTCTGCAATAAATTTATTTCTTAATTGCATACATCATGTCATACACGGTAGCTAATGATTACCACTAGTTAAAGTTTGCAGCCTTCAAGACATCCTCCTCCCTTCCATATAACCGTAATTTTCCTTCCAAATTAAGATTTTCTCAGAAAGAAAATGGACAAAACCTGCACGTTAAATCCAATTCCGTCCAAATAAATGAAGGTAAATTTTAGGTACTAAATTAAGTAAGTGATTTTAATTAGCGGATCATTTCAGGAAGATCATAAAACATTTAAGTAACACTGAAGTTATGTATATTTAAGCAGTTTTATGGAGAATTAAAGTCTTAAATGGTAAATTTCAAATGTAAATACGAAAGTCGATGGAGGAATGTTAATTGCTTTTCCTAAGTTTCTCACATGGCCTAGATGTTAGGAGAGGTATCAAGAATTACATTCACAGTAATAATGTGCCCAATCCAAAGCTTATTAAAGTCCTTGGAATTTTTCCACGGATTTTAGAAGCCATTGTATGAAAACAAGAAATGCTTTTAAATGTCTAACCCCCAGTACTGTGGAAGTCACTTACATGCCAAAAATCATATATGTGATGTCAATAGTCTAAAATATTGGTTAATTTATAGCTTAAGATTCCTGTTCATAGCCAAGAAATTTAAACTGACCTTAAGAACTTATCCAGTTACCCTTTTGAACAAATAAAATTACGTTTGCAGCAACAGACATTTTACACCAACAGATTAGTTTACATAAAAGGAAAACTTACACACCAGGAGAAGCTGCTACGATTGGACAACAAAACGTGCCAACAAATTGGACTACCAAGAATGTGAATTCTCACATGCCTGTCCATAGCTCAGCGGTACTGTTACATTATTTTTGATTCAACTAGATCAAATTAAAACTTAATTTTTACAGTTTGATAATAATGAAATGCATAATGTTTGAAACTAATGAAATTCAAATCAGGGGGTACTAAGGCTGAAAAGTCACGACGTGTACATTTGTCCAAATTCCCTATTGTAAACCACTTGGAAATGAATATCCCATTGGAAGAGGGAAAACAGAAAGTGGACCTCAGCAGAAGGTTTCCTTGATTCCCTTAAACCATTTGGTCTTCTGGGAGAGCCTGGAAGAACTATGGCCACATCTCTTCCCATGTTGGTGTCAGGATGCAGATGGAAGTGGTAGAATTCCATGCAATCATTTTACTCCATGTAGACATAGGAATCACGTTGCAAGGACAGCTGTTCCACCAAAAAAAGTGGAAGTGCCACCATCAGAGTCTGCTTGTGACTAAATTGTTGTAACTGTATGTGCAAGGAACAGATTCTTTAAGGGACTGATAGTTCCCAGTGCCCAAAAAATCAAGAAACAATTTTTTTCTCTTCAAGATTCACCCCAAATTGCTGGAATGGCTTATTTCAGAATTATGTAGTACCTTAGGGGAGTGTGATGTTTGTTTTCATTTGGTTTGTAGTGAGACAAGTCCCACTGCTTTTCGCAGTGAAATCTGTGCTGATACAGAGGGATGTGCTGCTCCAGCGGTGCCTCCTCTCCCGTGTTTCAGTGTCTACAGAACCTCCGTGAGCATTTCTGGGAGAGGGACATGCATGTGTGCTGATAGTTCAGCCTCATGGAGAAGCCACCCTGCCAGTGTGCATGACAGAAGGGCTGAAGGCAGCATAAACCTGCTCTTTTCTTTCTCTTCAAAGCGTTTTTTAACACCCACCTTACGCGCAGTCCGAGGCCCGCGATCCGGGACGTGGCTGTGCCTCTGTTTCTTCAGCTGTTGGATGGGGATATTATTATGCTCTTGTCTCAGATGCTGAGAGGGTTAATTAATTATGTTTATGAAACCCTTTGAGATTCTCAGATGAAAGGTGGCTTTGGAATTGTTAGGTGTTATTATAAGAAAAAAGAATGATTTTATTGCTTCATGTTAATGGTTAACATCTGCACCACAAAACCTGCTTGATCACATAAAGATTCTGCTAAGCATTTAATCCTAATTTGCAGGCTGATGCATATTCATTTTATTTAGAAGATTAATTTAGTCATCAAAGGTTAATCTGCCTCGGGTTTGTAATTAGACAGAGCAGTGACTTGGCGTCTCTGGGCTCACCCAGGTTGCACTGAGTGAGCAGGGCTTTAACTGTCACCAGTTTTCACTTCCAGCTAGTGCTTGGAGAAGGCTTAATTTTTGGAGAAATGGTGAGTGGTAAAAACTTTGGCCAGTTCGAAGATTAAAAGTAAAAGGAGAAGCATGAGCCAATGAACAGTCAGCGTAGTGAATCTCAGAATGCTGCTTTAATTCATCCCTGGCAATGTCAGGGCAATAAGCAAGAGATTTTTTTTTTAAATACATATTTGTAAAAATGATTAAACAGATTTCACAATCTTTGATGTATGAATCCTGCCCCTCTTTCAAAATTACTGATTAGCAGTTTGCAGAAAGTATCTGAAATGAAGAACTATGAGGCTTTCTGCTGAAAATATCAGATTTTAACTTTTAGCTGCTATTAGGCACTGTTAGAAGGTTGTACAATATGACCTGTAGTTGCTTGTACCCCTGGAAATTAAGCCTTTAGTGCTCAATGTCGGATCCTTTAATCAGAAGTCACTAAAGAAAGTGTGGTCCTTGTGGAGAACAAAAATCACATTTCCTATGCAGGTACACCAGAAGGCATTTTTAATTACTGTTTATAAAGCTGGCTGTTAGTAAGTGTGAGGGGTTATTAATGCCATGGTATTGTCTTTTGAAGTGAGGAAGAACAGTGGCTGCTTCTCTGTCATGTCCTCATCTTTTCCCTGTTGCAAAGCAGTCAGGAGGGTGATATCAGAGGGCGTGTGCAGCACAGTGCTGTGCTTCAGCACCCTGTTAGGCAGTGAGGTGGCCTTCAGACACAAATTGGGTGATGGGAGTCCAGGGTGGCATGGGATGTGCTCACCCTGTCAGTGGGGATGGGGTTGTCAAAGGGCAGCTGTGTGACTCGGGGATCCAGCTCAAACTGGTTCGGGTGGGGGAAGTTCGCTGTGGGACGTAGGGCTGGGAAATGGCAGATGAAAACCTTGCAAATGGAAAATTTGTCTTAAAAATAGTGGCTTGCCCAATGTGAAATCAATATGGGCTGCAAAATAAGTACTGTAAATGAAAATCATGATACTAGAATTTAGGAATTTGGCCAAAGTTTTACATTTCATTGCAGCTTGGCTTTGGTTTAGTTCAGAATCCAGATTCTGGGGATGGGGGGGATGTTGCTTTTTTTTTCCCAGTACAGTTCTCACATCTCTGTTTTGATTTGCCAGTTTTCCCCTCCTCTTTCTGGTGCAGAACCTCAGAAGCATCCAAGAAGGGATTTTGGAGACCATAAACAGTTCTAATTGAGAACAGCCGCAAATCAAGTTAAGTGCCAGCCTGACTATCAGAATATAAATGAAACTCTTTTATTAAAACATTGTATTTTAATTATTGTGAAGAACAAGTGGCCTAATGTGAAAAAGCTTTTAACATAGCAGTTATTTGCTTGATAGCTGATAACTTAATTTCGGGGGGATGATTACAGGTATGGCTTTTTGTCTTCTTCACTTTCATTTTTACTTGATCTAATGACTGTTCACTGATTTTCATTTGGACTTGAGGTCATTTTCTAATTCAGTTGCTAATAAACTCAGATTGGTTGGGGCCTGTTATTGAAATCAGGTTTTCTATTTCCAGTTTAAAAGGCCAGGGAAGTTTTGTTGGTGTTTTGAAAGAAGTTTAGAGTGTTTTGGACTGATGATTTGCAAACGTAGGAGCTCTTTGCAGAGTGACCCTTCGCTAGTCAACTGTAAGCACTTGTCAATTTGTTCTCTGCCATGAAGATAACCTGGCATGCAATGAGAGCATGGGATGGCAATTCACTACAACTGAGGGGGAAAAAAACCCCCAAACAGCAAGAATACATGTCACTCTAAGCAGATACCATAACTATAAAACAGTTACTGTTACATCATTCAAGCCCTTCCTTTCTAGCCAAGAGACTGAGAGTGGAATTAAACACACACATTTGCCACAGATTTTAGGCTATTTATGCTATTTTAGTCGTCTCCTCAACCTGCACATTTAGTGTCTTCACTTGCATCCTAATCCTGAGCTGATTTGTGTGAATGGTGGATAGGCACCACTAAAATGGGGATTGTGAGCTTCATCTGTCATCCCTGCTGCTCTACCATTGACTTCAGTGAGCTTCCAGAGGAATGAGTCTGGCCCACAAGAGGATGTGAACTGTCAAGAAGACAAACCTCTTTCTCATCCACTTGAAATGTTTGTGGGAAAGAATGCCCTAAATATTTAGCAGGTTTTGTAATTTGAGAGGCAATGCAGGTTTTTTTTTTTTTCATTTTAGTTTTCTCCCTACCTTTCCATTTTCTTTATTAAGTAGAGGAAAACCTTGCCTTAGGCCCAGTGTGCTTATGACAGGGAAAAAATATCTGCCAGAATCTCCATTATTGCTCGGGCCTGTATATATTGTTATTGCTCTTGTATTTGTAATAGCAAAAGGTGACTGTGCCTCTTATGAAAAATTCTGTTTGCAGAAAATACCTTCTTCCCCCCACCTTTTCCAAACCCAGCACGGTGCATAAAGAATCCAGGGGTGTTTATGTTGGTTATGTTAATGCAGCAGAGCTCAAAGCAGCATATATGTAAGGACTGGACATGTGTACCATAGCTGGGCATTGTGGTGATGCAGCTCACGGAATCAGGAGGAAGCAGAGATGCTTAAAGCCAGTTTAACTTCCTCTCCCTTGCATGTTTGGGAGTCAATGAAGCTGCACAGAGAGCATCAGTGAAATCTGCTGCAGCCCACGCTGGTTTCTGGTGGACAGAAGACCCAAAGTGGAACTTAACCTCAGATGTCCCCAGTAAGGTCACCTGTTTCAGCGCTTCCTAAAGGCAGCCAAACTGATTGCTTACATCAACCACCATCAAAGATCTTGCCCCTTCATATTTCAGCTGCAGGGAGCTGCAGTGAGTCAGGCTTGGGTGGAGGGGGGAGATCCTCCACCCAGATTGCCAGCTCAAGCTTGCCACTGCTTTATCGTGTGGTCTTAGGCAATGTGTTGAGTTTTGCTTCTGGAAGACCTCAGGGTTAAACTCTCAGAGTGAAAGCACAGCCCATCACCATTATGTGCAGTGGCTGACTGCTGCCTCTTCAGCCATGTACGTAGTAGGACCCCAGAGACACCCGTGTCTGCGTGTTAACGGAGCTGTTTTACATTTGATACACAAAAAGACATGGCACAACACTCTTGAACAGTGCTGAGTATGGGAATATCCTCCCTGGGAGCGGGGCCATCCGTGTGTGTGCGTAATTACAAGCTCCCAGTCTAAGTGTGTATGTAAAAGTTCACGTTTATACACCATTGGATTTGCATAACACTGTCCACGAAATCAACGTTTTAGAGCTTTCAGAGCGTTGTTACAATCCTTCCCTTGTGCAGAATGATTCTGGAGCAGATTCTTGTTGACCAGGATATCTAGGCAGTAGGTCCCTGGCAGTGCTGTCTTTCTCTCAAATAGGTGTGCCAGCTCCAAGACTGGTTGCTGGTACCTTCAAAGAGTGAGAAGTCGGCACCTCCTTTGGCTGCCAAGGCTTCCGTGCAACCGAGTGCTCCTCTTTCCCAGCAGAAGGGACTCTGCTTTCTGCCTTTGCTCTTGCCTAAGGGTGAGTTGTCTTCATCACGCTTACCCTGTGGGCACAGGAAGTGATATTATATAAGAAATAATTTTGCAACCCTATTTCTACTAATCATTGCCACTCCTACCATAATAACAGACAGATGCAACATACACGATTCATGTTTCTATTATTTTTCTGCTACAGTTTGCATGTGTTTTCCATTTAATTACAGTATATGAATTTCATATCTCTCATTTTTTTTCCCCTTCTTGGATTTAAAATTGAATTTGATATCTGTGATATATAGATAGGCCTGTGGTGAATCGTTTGATGCACTTTACACTGATAGGTCTGAGTCTCTGCAAATCTCTTAAGTGCTCTGAATATCTTCCAGTTTTGTTGGTGATGCAATAGTATCTGGGATACTACTGTAGTAGTTTCTGCACAAGACAGAAGAGTAGCTCGAGCATTTAAAGAAACTTTACTTAACAACAGTGACAACACCAAAACCAATTGTAACTGTTTTTAGGTGTTAGAGAACTCTTTGCACCCATATGTCTCAAAACAAATTGCAAAGGGCTTTGCAGAGGGAGAAAACTGAGGTGTGTTGTTCAGAAATGAACAGGATACCCTGAACAGAGTAGTGACAGCACTGAAATGGAAACCAGGTTTTTGTGACTGACCTACTCAATGGGAAGTATGTCTTAAAATAATTCAGGCTTGAAGAACTTGTGGTGTGTTACTCGTTGGATTCTTTCTTTCCCAACCTATATTACCATGTTTGAATTGAGCATATTACAATACTTGAGAAAAGAGATTTCAGTTTAAGTTCTACATGAAAGAGGCCAGCTGAAGTAGAGAGGAACATTACTAAATGTTGGTTCCTACTGTATTTTAACCTGAATTAGTGGAAATCTTACTAACAGTCGGCTCTGCCTCCTCTGTAACTTTCCATGTGTTTCAGAAGGAGTTGAATTATCCTGCTACTTATCAAGAAGAAAAGAAGAGCAAAAGATCATTGGTTTAATGGACATGCTTTGGATTTAGAGCTGGCATCCTAGAAGCAGAATTGTCCCTGTGGATGTAGAAATATCATGGTAACACTGCCCAGGTAATATTCAAGCCTTATTTTTTTCTGAGTGCAGGTTCTGATTGTAGTAGATGACACATGTTTTTAGAACAATGGTTGAATGCCTACTTAGTTCACACATGGCCCACAAAGATTTTGAAGGCTTGATGTACTCTATTAAGTAAATAACTATAAATAAAACAGACTTAAAAAATCTTTAAATGTGCATTATGCCATCAAACTATGCTGTTTGGAAAGAGCTGTGGTGTTTGGGAAAAATTAGACATGTTTTCAACAACTGTCCAAGTACATATTTACACATAGTTTATGGTGTACACAAAGCTATGTCCATGGAAACTCTTGGGCCCCAGGAAGCTTTATTAATTATTCTTTGAATACAGTGTTTTCAGTCACTTAAACACTACAAATGGACAGGAGACAGCTAATCATGGGGAAACATGCTGATTTCAAGGGAACTTAAAACTTGCTTCTCCCAGAACCATCAGTAGAAAATGGCAAAATATTGATATGGGACGTATGGAATACACTGTGTGGGGAGGAAACAGAGATTTGTAGTTTATATAGGTACATTTTAGTACCTGTTTGTTCAGCCAGATGAATAAAGAGACTTTTCACTTGCTCAGAACTCTCCTGGTCAGGTCCAGCTGAACATGAGCAGCACTGAGGCTCTTCCCACTGAAGGTGTTTTTCATTACTTGTGTGCCACCTATGACCTGCAGATATTTTGGTATTCTGGATTCCCCAGACACAGAATATTAGATGCTTTCAGTATCCTAATTCCTGTTCAGTTCATGAGGAGCATAGTCTGTGGGCTTCTGGCTTCGTTGTTTAACAGGGATATAGTGTGATACTTGAAAGACAAAATTTCTTTAGATAAGAAAGTTCAGAGTAGGGACCTTACTTTCCTGCTTGCCTGTGATGTTATCAAACAATAATCCTTGTTAAGTAAGGATTAATGTTCAAACATGATCAGGCTGGTGAAACATCTTTTTGGCTGCAGAGGAGACCTGGCAGAGTCTCCCTTTGCCTGCCTTTGGATCATTTTGTAGACCTCGTTCACACAAGCCACTTTACCTGTGAGTGGGGTGGGTGCATGGGATCATCAGATTCTCCCACTACATCTTGGACTGAGGTCTCACCTGCATCTAAGAATAATGCCCTACCAAAGCATCTTTTAGTTGTAAAGCTCTGGGACCAAGTTCTCTGACTCTGTATCAGCTGGAAGGTTGTTTTGGATTTTGCCAGGTTGTTTTATCACATGCTGGAGAGTGCCTGTCTTAAGCAGACTTGTCCTAAGCAATCCTCTTAGTGTTGCTGTGAGAGGTGGTTATATTTTAAATACTGTAAGTCAATCTGTTGTCCACCTCTCATGGACAACTTGATCAGACCCCATGTAGCAAAGTTAATAGAGTCTTGTAATACCTAAAAAGCCCCTTTACAAGCAGCACCGTTTACTTTTCAGTTGTACTGCTTATTTGCCAATTCCCATCTACTCACAAAACTTTCTAGGTACTCTGATTTCTTTATCTAACTTGTTAGCGGTGAGCATGGCCCTTAAGGACTCCTTTGTTTTTGGATAGTTGTCAATTTTACCAATTAAAAGAACGCCTTTGGATAGTTATCAGAAGCTGGAGCTGAAAACATGTTTGCGATTACTGATGACATAGCTGTTTCTATTTGCTGCTCTCTCTTTTAATTCCAAAAAGTGATATTTTTTTTGGCAGTAGATATGAGAAAATATGTCACTGTGTATAATTACAAAATGCTGTTCATTTCTATCTTGTAACTGTGGGGGGTTAGTTGGTACAATACATTTGGTTCATTCTTGGCTCACTCAACTGCATGACACACGTTTAAGTGTATTATTAATTGTCATGTTAATATTCATTACCATGTTAATTTCCATGGAATCATATAATTCTGCATGCCTCCAAATTGATGTTCAAGGGTATATGCAAGCATGAAAAAAACCACTGAATGATTTCCTAGGACACTGTAATAAACCTTAAATAAAATCACGTTCTGAACATTTTCCTCCAGGAGACCTGGGCTTTTTCAACAGGCTTTACCCCACCATGATACTTGCTACAAAAACAAGATTCATCCCTGGGAATGGGCTTTGTATAAAGCTGCTTTAAATGTTCCTTGTGCTTTCAACCAGATTCAAAATACAAATCCACAGTGCTGGCTTTACTTTAATTTCCTAGGTTGCATCTGCCATCTCATCAGAGCAATCTGACTGTACAGTGCACTGAAGAAGCTGCATAATATTTCTAGTGACTTGGATTTTTCACTTGATATATATCAAATATACGGATAATGGCTCAATAAGTATCTGTGAATTTTTCAGTAGTGTTTTGCAAGAGAAAGTTCTACTAGAAACAGCAGCTTGGGACCTGCAAATTTGGGGGATAAGAGGTGAACCTCATTCTGAACAAAAATGTCTGTTGCTTGGGGATTTAAAAGAAAAGGATTGATACAAGTATTTTGGGCTTAACCTCCTGTTAGCACAGACCGTCTTACCTGAAGCCTGGTGAAATCAGTGGGAGTTTTTGATTGTTTCTGAATATGACTCAGACTTCCAATGCATGTGTTTGTAAAGGAGAGAGGGCACATAGCACCTGAAATGCTCTATTTTTCCAGGAAATAGGCCCATCCAACTCAAACTTACCCATTTCTGAAAACACCTTTGGTCACAAGGCACTGCACCTGCTGCAGTTTGTAGATGGGTGGGTTCTTTTCTCTAGTCCTGGTGAAGTTTTAAGAGCTTGCAGATACGTTCATTATCCACTTTTACTTGTCTTAGAGAACATATAGGCTTAGGCAAGAGAGAGAAGTTGGCTTTGGCCTCTTGCCTTGGCTGGTGTTACTCTGGAGGAGGTGTAAGGGCAATGACATGAAACCAGGGTGGGGTCACAGCACTGAACATTTTATTGTAGTATGAGAATAGCTCCCTGCCAAAGTCCTTGTAGAGCAATGTATTTCAAGGTCATGTGTTTTGCTCCACAATCATCTCAAAACATGCTTGTAAATAAATTGTATGGGCTTAGCTCTGCTGTCATGACACTTTCCCCTAAGTAAATGCCAAGGCTACTGTGGATAGAATTACACTGACTAAGAAGGCTCACACCTGAGCAGCCTTACAGCTGCTCTTCTCAGCTGGGATTTAGTAGTCTTGGTTCTAGGTGGCAGCAAAGCCCTTCTCAAGCCCTCTGAGTCGTGTGGGGCACACCTGCCCTCGGAAATGAAGTGCAGAGATATCCGAGCTACTTGTGGACAGGCCAGCTCTGGAAGCAGAGCTGGAAAAGCAGGGCACTGCTGCACTGACAGGTCCCTGCTGCTGCTGGGACTGAGCTGCTGGCTCTGCAGGGCTGTGGAGACACAGCTGCTTCTCAGAGATAGCCTGTTTATTTGGGCAGGAGTTGCATGTTTTTCTGTGCTGCAGCTTCACTTCCTAGGGTAGGACTCTGCTGCACTGTGGCTTTCTGTCTAGTGAGAGTATGAGCAGTTTCAGGCATAGAGGAACTTTTACCAAGCATTTGTGTATTGCCTGCAACAATTAGAGACACCAGCACACTGTTACATCATCATCATTATTATAATCAACAGGTTGTATTCAGAAGTCATGTCTTGTTTTAAAATACCAGACCTGTTTGAACACAGACATTTAATCTAAATTAATATATTGATAATATGTTAGGAAAGATGTTCTGAACTTCTTTTTAAGCAGAAATTGACATTTTATCTGAAAATAGTAATGGAAAGAAAATTGTATAGTCCAGCAATGTATATCATTTAGACCTGATGATAGAATAATTGTTTTCCATCAAGCAAACCAAAGAAGAATCCATAATAAAATTTTACAAGTTAGCTGCCATCAAGAATAAACTCAAGAGCACTATATGAAATGAATTGTGTGTTTTAACTGAATCTTCTCTCAGGACAATAACTCTAATGTAGAGCCAAGGTCTGAGGAGGTCACCTGCAGAAAACCCTCCTGGGGCATTTCAGAGGAGAAAGGAAATATTCTTCTCCCTGTCAGGTTCACTTCGTGTCCTAATATGTCTGAGGATGTGCATTGAAAACATAATACACAGCCACCATTTCGAGTTGGGGTTTAGATAACAAGGGTCATTAAGAAATCTCTAAGGATGACAAACTTAACCCTGTATGAACTTAAGGATCATATCCTGCTACTAATGCTAAGAGTAAGTCTGGTTGATTGTAATTGTGACTGAACTAAAATGTCATTTACCATTAGGATCAATTTCTCTCTTTTTTTTTTAATAGCATTTCTCTAAAAATAAAAGTGTAAGATCATAACAGGCATCTATTGAGCATAGTCTGTAGTGATCTTTTCCAGTATGATGTGAGAGAACATCTGGATTTCCATATGTTTCCAAATATTTGCCATATCTCAGATTATGTTTGCAGGACCAGGATGTGGTAATTTAGTGCAGGATCCCAAATTAAAATACCTATTGAGAAACCTCAACATTTGTCATCACAGGGATCTAACTCCACAACTTCTGCTGAGGCCCTTCGGGTAAACCAGGGTGTATCGCGACTCCTCCTGAGTTCAAAGGCTGAGGTGTGCTCTCCAAAGAATGTGCAACACTCCTGCTCTGACTAACCACAGGTACTGCTGGGCTCTCAGCACACTGGCTGTTCCGGGGTGAGGTGCTCCAAAGGTGTTTTCAGGGACTCCCATGTTAACTGTGTGGGAATGTTTGGATGTTGGCTCGTTAAGGGTGGTTGGGCACTGAACAAGCTCCCCAGGGCAGTGGTCATGGCACCAAGCTTGGCGGAGTTCAAGAAGCATTTGGACAACACTCTTGGGTGCATGGTGTAATTTTTGGGGTGTCCTGTGCAGGGCCAGAAGTTGTACTTGATGATCCTTAAGGATCAGGATATTCTATGGTCCTGTGTGCCATAGACAGTGGAGAGAGTTTGAAGTTGCCCTGCCAGTAACAGTGCAAAAAATTCCTCACTGCTGGCACCATAAAAATAGTTCCCTGAGCATTGTCAGACCTTTATCACAATGGCCCAATTTATGCCTGTATGAAGCATGGAGGCCACTTTAAATCCTCTTGCCCAAATCCCCACGTTCCATCCTTACAGGCATGCCTTTGAGCCTTGAGCCTCATGTAATTTTTTATGGCTCCATTAACTAGGATGTCATCAATTTGAACAATTACAAATTACAGTGATATTAAAGTATCCAAGCAGTACTAGCCACAAGTCAGCAAGGATGGGAATTATCACATTCCTTGCTCTCCAGTCATGCTGGGGCTCCTCACTTGGTTCCTGTGCCCCTTGCATCAGGGAGCCCGGGTGTCAAAGATCTCATTTGCATTTTAGCTTCCTTGAACTCCAAAAAGTGAAGGAGCTCGTCTAAGCACAGAGTTTCAGTATATTGTGTTTACTTCAAGGGATTTAGGCACTTACAGAAAATGCTGGGTAGATAGAGGCTAACTACAAGGATTATGGGTGAATTTTTCTTAGCTCTACTCCTAACTCAGTCCCATTCCGTGAGGCTTTCTAAAGCCTCAAATCTTTTGTTCTTAATTAAAAAAAAAAAAAAAAAAAAGATAGATCCCTTGGTTATCTTTTCTGGGCAAGAAGGATAGAAGGAGCCTCCTTTACTTTACAGGATACTCAACTTTTTGTGCCCATGTGTCAGTAGTGTCCATCTCTGCATTGCTGAGCTGGTGCTGTGTACAACAAAGCCATCCCCTTTCTCCTGGGATCAGGATGAAGTTTTGTCTCATCAGATTTTTTTTCTCAGAAGCCTTTTTTGATTCTTGATGATTGGATGTACTGGCTTTATAACCTTTTTTCCTCCACTTCTTTTATGTTGGTTTGGTCACAGGACACAGTGATATTAATTTTTGGAGTGGTCCAATCTGTAGTATCTAGCTGAAGGCACTATGCAACATAGTTCCTTTGGGATGTTAATAGACACATAGTCACCAGGGAGGGACAAATTTGAGTCCCTGGGAGACAGGAAGCCCTGCTTTATGGAGGACTTGTGGTCTTGCAATGAGGCAGACTCAGACTAACCCTCCTCTCAGTACGATAAATCAGGAGTGATTTCCTTCAGCTGAAAAGGGGTCGCAAAGAGATAAAAATAGTGACAGGAGAATCATTGCTCTTCTCTCTTAAGAGCAGGCAGTTGGTTAAATTCCTTTGCTCCTCAGATAGCATTGAATGTCATGCAAGTGATCATTCAGCCTGTGGGGAGTGGGATACAATCAGGATGCTAATGTGCTGGGAGTGCAGCTGTTTCTTCCTCAGTGTCCTCCGTGCTCTGACTCACCTTTGCTGCCAAAGTACTTGCTCGCTGCTCTTCATTTGTAACTCAAATCTGTACCTACACACATTTGTGACTGAGATTTGTAAGAGACAATTTTATGCTTGAAAAGGGAGAATTACTTTACAGCTATACCTGTTGTCTGTGCAACTGCTTGACAACCTCGCAAGAATTCCTTTCACTCTGTGCCTCTGGTTCTCTTTGTCAGTAAGAAACAGAACATGTATAGTTCTAAGTGCTGAAAATCAAATACTGACGTGATATATTAACTTCTTTCCCCTCCCCCCCCTTGGTGTTCTAAATATGGCTCTACTTTGAAATTAAGTGTACTACAGAATATTCGGTTGCAGCACATTGCTGGCATACAGTTTATAAATTGTTAGTGTTTGGCAGCCCTTGGTTTTTAAATTCCTACTGATCACAAGTAGCTGGCACTAATCAGCTCCAATAGAGTTACGGTCCTGTGTACCTTCTTAAATGGCTGGAGTGGAGATATACATCTAAAACCCCATATATAATAGCCACATGTCAGAAACACTTTACTCTGAGCAGGGGTTTTATTTTACTTTTTTACATCTCTCACATTTTACATCTGGTTCAACAGTTCTGAAGGAAACTACATCTGATGTGATAGCAGGAGATCTATATCACACATCTCAAAACCTGCCAGAAATGCAATTTAAATATAGTTTTGGACAGAGTAAAAGAAGTATTATTGGTATCAGATGTTTGGGCAGTGAGAAGTTGAGCTCCAGCTCTCTGCTTGATTTTTTTTTGTACAGAAGGAAATCATAATGTGAAATCCTAGTTCTGCTAAAAGTTGTGAGAGCTTTGCCATTGATTTCAGTCACCAGTTTCACCTTGCAGCTGTGAAGTACCTGCCAAGTTCAAGCAAAACTGTATAGCTGGAGCAGCAAAGGCAGACCTGGATGTGGCCTTTTGCAGAGATGAGCACGGTTTGCACTGGTTTCAATGGGGATAACAATCACCTGTACCATGTCACAAACTTGAAAGATCTTCTCCAGTATTTGGATCCACAAAAAGTTTGGGCAGGGAAGGCTGGTTCTAGTGGTGCACGGTCACTTTTTTCTGGTTTATTTTCACGGTGCAAGTTTAGAAATATTTGAAGTTTCAGATAATCTAATTCAAACCAGTAGGAATTCTATGCCTTTGTCATCTGAGAGTGCACATACCACCTGAACTCCTGAAGTTTGTGGGAGTCATCCATCAGTAATGGAGGGAGAACACAACCTGTGCCTGTCACAAATTAGCACCTCCCATGGCTTGCATCTGAAGGGGCTGCCTGCACGTCCTCTGCACATGGCAGTGGGCTTAGTTGCTTGGAAATAAGATAGCCTGTGCCTTAAAGAGATGTAATTTTAAGGCTGTTGATGCTTAGGGTTTGCTGAAAAACAGACCTCAGTGATCCAGGGCACTGAAACCTGTTAATAACAGCTGTCAGTCACAGGCTGGGGAATGCATTCAGCCACTCGTGTGTCAGCAATAGGCCCAAGCACCTCTGCACGTAGCACAAATGCGTTTTGTTCTTGTGCTGGGTGTGTGGGATATGTCGTTGTGCAGAATCTGGGACTGTCTGAACAGACAAACCAGGATTCACTTTGTTATTAGGATCCTAATTGTTATTATTTCATCACTCCGGAGCCCTAACGAGGGACGGGGGCCCCAGCGTGATGGACTGAGAAGATGAGCTTCAGCTCTTGCTTTGAAGCATGCTAGTTTTTGTCTCATTACTCCTGATCGTAATCCAGCACCGAAAGAAATCAAAAGCTGTCTCTGAATTTGGAGAGAGCTGAGGGCACACGAAAGCTCTCAGGAAATGCTCAGTGTGTTGTCAGGATCAGGCCTGTAATGTGTAACTCCAGCCTAGAAAACTCATTTCCTTTGAAGCTCAGTTGAGTGTTACTACTACACATCAGCATGTTGCACCACACAGAGTATATCAAATTTGATGTCATTTTTTTTTTCTTCCTTTTTCCCTGGGAACCTGTAAATATCCTTTGGTAGCAAAACCAGAGAGGAATAAATTCTCCTCGATGTATTTACAAATGTGAGAAGCTTTTCAAGTTGTATTTGCAATTCTCTTTCTTGCAATGACCTCTATTTTCATAATCCTTCATGGAATATCATGGTTTAAAGAGCTTTCTCTCCCTGCTGTTTTTGTTAAAAGGTTTTTGGTGTGATATTTGGAAAGTCAAATTCTGCATTTAAATGTTGTGTTTTCACAGATATAAATGAAAGAGGCCATATTTATCTTTTTTCCCCTCTTTTCCCCTTTTCCGAGAACACAAGCAATTCCATTTTTCTGCATGTATTGTTAACTAAACCGTGAGAGCATACAGCAGCTTTAATAGTAAAGCAATTGTGATTACATCTTGCTTGTAATTACATTTATTTCCTCACATATGTCCAAAAAAGCAAGCATTAGTTTGGCCTGTATAGGCATGTGCTAATGGTAAGAAAATCATCTGGCAGCTTGACAGCAAGGAAAATAGCTTACAGTCACTTAAAGTCTCTCATGTCATGGACACTTGCAAAGACTGAGAACTCAGGCTTTCACTCGCACGCTTTTAAAATCGATTGCATTTTGAGAGAGGGGGAATTTGCTATGTGCCATGGATTTGCATCTAAATAATCAAAATAGGAAGAGATACAGTTGGCAGGGTATGGGTATGTGATCACAAATTTGAAAAACCCAGTCGTGGCACTCTACAGGACTGATCTGCAAATACCCGCGGGCCCCGCGCTCTGCTGTGGGTTATCCTGGCAGGAATGCCTGCAGCTGTCCACGGAAAAAAGGTGGGCAAATAAAGAGTCCCTTGTTACAGGAAGGACTCTGGGGCTCACTTGTATCCCACATAGCATCTCAGTGATTTATTTGACTCTGTATGTACAGGACAGTGCAGCTCAGAGTGACCCGGAGGGTCACGACTTGATCCTGTTCGAGCAGGGCTTTGCCAGCCCTGGAATTCCTGCCACAAGGTGAGCACACTGGTGAGCATTCTTTTCCCTTTTTAACAAAAGCCTGGCTAGAAATTTTTAAAAAGATTTATGACAAAACTGAAATCACATGCATATTCTCAGTGAAGAAAAGTTTCTTACTGGAAATAATACATGTTACAAAGTTCTTCGGAAGCTGAGTATGACATTAAACAGAGGAGTGTCCCAAATGCTGTCCAGGAAGAGTGAGAATTTTTAAAGGTTCATATAAGCCACAAACTAAGGCAACTTGCAGCAAGTTGAAATTGGAGGTAGATTTGTATCTTCAGTCTGGTCTACTTTTCTGCTATGGTGGCTACTAATAATCT